TCGAAGACCTCATACACGCTTTTATTAGCGTGGTGGGAATGAAGACACCACCGCGGTGTCTACGGACACCTATCATACACGTCTTTATTGCGCGTAGTGGGAAGACCCAATTTCTCGTAGTTTCCCCTAAACGAGGGAGACTGCCAAAATCTGCATTGACGAGGGACTATACTTGGCTTGAATTGAACAAAAACTACATGGGACTTATGAACCTAATTTGGACAACAGGGAACTTGGAGCTAATGCAAAGGATTTTAACTCAATTCAAACAATAAATAAACTTACAACTTAAATAAATTATAGGGGACTGCATTTGAACTCAAACTGAAATGAACTAAGTGCAATGGACATGAACTCAAATTGTACTTGAACTTGACAATAAACGAACTAAATTTGAACTTAAACAAATACAAAAGAGCTCAAATGAACATAGAGTTTGTCTTGAATGATAACAATAGATTCTCATTTCAATTAGAATGCAAAGTTTGAATCATTTGAGACCTATGCAAACAAGCAAATGATTAATGTACAAGCTTTGACCTGAAATCTCTCTTTGGATAACAATAATAGATTTGTAATGATCATCTCAAGTGGGGTAAAGACATGATATCAAGTTTAGTGTGTGTATGGCAAACCACCTTCAAGGATAAAAAATTTGCAAGTGGAGTATATTTGCAAGAAAATAAGGACTCATGACAAATCAATTCCTGATGTACTCAAATGATTACCAATGAATGAACATGATACTTGTAATAACCGAAGCTTCATAAGGAATTTGCAAGCAATCATTCAAACAAGAAGCAAATGAAAGATCAATGACGGGCGATGCATCAATACAACCTACTTGTGCATATCAATTAATGAAGTTGAAGGATATATGCAACTTAATTGCAACCAACAAGATAGAGCCTTGGATGTATACTATAACTTACCCCTGAACATACAATGGTTGATATTTCCCTTGCCAATCAACTTATGGGCATAAGGAGATCAATACAATGAATGATATGATACATTCATGAATAATATGTAAGGGAAGGATGTGCAATAAACATGTCACTATGCCATCAACGTCGATATGCAATCAGGTGTATCAAATCTTATAAGCAGTGAGTGGTGGAGATTACGGAGAATGCGGAAATTCATATGAGAAAAGCAATTTGAAGTATTCTCCAATAAGTTCTAAAAGCCGTCATGCCAACATGAGCACTAAGGATAATAAGAATGTTAAACTTATTATGCATATCGCAAGTGACCTTCGAGGACAAGGGAACTCCGAAGACACACAATGACCTATTCATTAGTGGTGCAGTAATATGAGCATGGGTAAAGTTCGGAGATCTAACATCTCTACATAGCATTGTAAATACAAACGTCAGGGACAATCGTATACATCACTGGCAATAATACTATGGCGAGTATACATGCTTGTCCCCTACAAGAAAAAAAGTCATATATACAGTGTACAAGACAACTTGGTGTACGCAACGAATCTTGAAGTGTATATAAAAGATTTTCCATGAACATAATAGAAAGTACACCCACTACTCTAACTACATCAAGGGCTGCAACAATCATTTTAGGAATGAATATCTCATATATCTCTCCTATATGACCCGATGCGCTTTTCAATCGTTATAATGCCTACTCGAGGCAGTAACAATTGATTTTGATTTATACGACGTCTGCAAGGGCACAATCATCCAAGGTCGAAATGATTGATTCTTTATTGAAGCCGACAACATAAAGTGATGATGACGACATAATTAGGAAATCACTTATTGATTCCTATACAAATTCTGGAAGAGAAAGCCAGATCAAATCATTATGGAGCGAGTGAATAGCAGTTCAATTAGGTCTAGAACATCGGGTTGGATAAGACTAATGAGGCCTGCAAGTTCCTCGATGACCAGTGTTCGTGCATCCACCATAGTATCCATAAGAAAATGTTGAAAAGACAACTATAAAATGAACTTCTATGAGCCATCGTAAAAAAACCTGTCAAATGTCCAAAATGCCCCTGTACATGCACCGTAGTTTGTATACGAATAAGTACCCATAAGGGCATGTGTAGTCATAAACTAGCACGGGCCCCGACGAGCGTGTTATTAATACATATGTGACGTCTAGGGATGCTGCGCGGGTCCATAAATGAACGTAGTTCGAGCCCGATCCTTATATACAGATAGATGAGAGTCGACATGGCTCGAACTATCAAATAGATATACGGTCAGGTGTCTACTGAAATATCTATTTTATACGTTCATATAAGACCTTCAAGGCCCCCAACAAAGAAAATTCATCAACAAAACTGCAAAGCCAACAACGAACCCGATCCCCTATCAGCAAGTTGATAAGGTCGACAATGTTTAGTTAATGAATGACCCCGTTACCTCGATGATGGCTGTGTTGAACGTAGATTTCAACTGGATGGACTAATTCTAAATATTTCAAATGCCACCAAAATGTCCAAAAGTCTAAAAATCCAAAGATGTTTAAAATTGAAATCATCCATCAAAATACTTAAGGCAAAATTCATCCACCCTCTGTAACAGTTTGTATAGGTGGACAAGTTAAAAAATATTTGAGCTCACATAGAGCTAATGCCTAGTCGAAAATATCACTATGATCTATTCTCAAATAATTTCCTGCCAGTAAGGACATGGTACGTGTTCTTTAATCGGTGGTTTTGTCGTTAAATGGCACCGCATGATAAACAGTTATGACCCGAGACACTCTGAACTAAGTGGTTTTGCCGCCAAATGGCACCACGAGATAACGGTTATGGTCAGAACCAATACGTTCCTTAGTGCACAAATAATTGAGACATGAATTAATATGATATAATCGACAGGGCACAAAGCCCTTTATTAGCTAAGGTGAATGCAAATTTGTCCCCTTAGATAAATATTCACCCAAGGTCTACAAGTTCCCCTTGGATGAAGCAACCCATGGCTGCCGACAAGGATCCTTCTGTCAGGTTGGGTCGACTACCTCCTCTGGCTAAGTAGACCAGGGACCACGATGGCCCGGGACGACGGAATCATGGAATCTTGATCGGGTCCATCATCCATTCCCCCACCATCCGCTTTAAGTGCAGGATGGTGAAATTCCCAATTTTAAATATCAACCCTTTACAAATACTCATGCCCATGCCGCTACTATATGCCAGATAACACGTATCTCTACGTTTCTGATCGATGACTAGCCTTAATCGAAAGTTCTCTCTCGTGATCGGGAGGGGTAATTAACTATAGGAGCTTGCGCCGATAGGATACCAGAACGCAGACCATAAAGTCCTCGCAAAATGAGGGCGAAATCTCTGGGTAGTGTCGTATCTACAAACCTATTTGCCTTCCAAAATTTACCCCGAAACTTAAATCCGTTAAAACTCACCCGAAAAAAAGCGTAGCGGGGGAGGCCAGGGCCTAATTTTTGGAGCCCACAAGGGGGTTACAAGACTACTTACATCCCAAGCTCTCCTTAGATAGTTTAGGTTTTTTTGACAAAGTTTTATTTAGCCTAAAAAGCATTTTGTTTAACGCAATATATTCTAATGCTTGCAAATAAAGATAATTTTTTAATGAATTTTCTAAAGCAAGCAATCCTTTCAAATATTAATAAATACTCAAGGCATATAAATTTAAAAAGATGATCACAAGAATATAACATTTAACTATCTTGTCTTAATTTTGATTCAAGTAAAGACTTTTATTTGCGGAACACACCATTTTCTATTTAAGGAATCTCAATAAAATTTTCGGTTATGGTAGGTTCACACAAATGTTAGATTAGGTATTTTTTGTTGGTGGTATTAATTCGGAATAAAGCAAATTCTTATAGAGTTATCAACTATCATGCAATTTTCCAATTTTTTTAATAAATTATCAAATAAGGAAATTTAAAGTCATGAAAGCAATACTAACCTTTCTTGAAAAAAAATAAGCCCTTTTTTTCCAAGGTATCTCAAATTTTCTCTATCTTGAAAAAAAATCAGATCCTCCTAGGAAAAAAAAAAAAAAACTCTGCTACAAGCAAAATATGCCTTCAAGCTCTTTGACTTTAAATTTCTTGGAGCTCATGGCTTTGATACCAAAATAATGTAGTGTCAATAGGATCTTTATGGTGAAGCCGACAACTTGATTGATGTCCTCTTAGGGTGGTGATAGAATGATTATTTGGGTGGTGGTGAGGCAGAAATTTAAGTTTTTGGACAGATTTTGGTATGAAACTTCTAAGCTCAAAAAAGATGCATTTTCTTTGGAGAAAAATAATGAAAAGCTCTAGATCGAAGCTTTGGAATATTATGGAACTAATGATGGTGTAATAGATTTTGGATCAATGGTTGAGAAGTTATTAAACTTTTAATTTGGTTGCTCACAACAAAAAATTACCTGTCTATATTGGAATTTTGTCTATTGTATATTTGGGTTTTTTATGGAGTTGAGGATTTGGAAGGTTATGAGAGATGTGTGGGGCTATTTAGGAGAGTTTTAGAGAGTTTGAATATGTTTGGAGGTTAAGGGATGCTAAGCTTGAGGCTAAGAATAGGAGATGAAATTGTGTTGGGAAAGAGGAGGAGAAATGATAAGAAGAAATAACTATGAACTCACCAAAACCCTAGAGGATTAACCACCAACCTTTACCAATATCTACTAATTGAATCATTTCATATGGCTTTTCTGTTTCAAAATTAGCTTAAAAACTTGGTTCTGATTAAAAAAAAAAAAAAAACAAAGCTTATATACAGTTTGAAATTGACTCCTGAAGATCTGAAGCATAATATTAGAAGCCTTGTAAAAAGTTAAAACTGATGTATATCTAATTGAAGTAGTTTTGAAAAAAAAAAGCAGCTTTTTGTTGTTGCAGTGTAAATTATCCAATTCCAACTCCGAACTATATTTTCCATCATTCTGGTCAAAGAACTATAAGATCGAAAGTTGATGTATAACATTCAAAGATGCAAGTTTATGTACAACTTAGGCTTTGTTTTTCCTTAGATATGCTGGCAAGCGATGAAACAGATTTTGAGGATGAGTTTCAAGATGATAATGAAGATGCAGATCCCCAAGTAATTCTGAACTCTCTTGTGTATCATTGCTCTTTCTTTTGCTTGTATGACATGCAGACACTTTCAACAAATGAACACCCTTATTATTTTTATGATCATCTGAAAGTTGGTGATGGCGGTGGGGGAGGAGGGATCTCACTTGCTGGAACATGGTGGGATAAGGAAGCATTGGCAATAGCAGCAGATGTCTCACTTTCATTTAATAGTGATTTGAGGATATATGCATTCAAAACTTCAGCAAATTCTACCATTCGCTTGCGGATAGAGAAGATGTCCAACAAGTGAGTATCTTTGAGCATCCTTGTCATCACTATTAGCCTCATCCCAACTAATTTGGGCCAGGTGTTACGAATTCCCATTTTCCATTTATTTTTGAAAGAAATCAACTTTACTCAAACCTATATTAAGACTAACAGTTGCTGCTATAGAGTAAATTCATTTAAAAATTAGATAAGATTCCCAGTAAGGCATTATTTTCAGTGTCGTGATTCATAAGGATGTCCATGAATTTGACCAATTACTCTTCGTGCTTTGCAGATGGACATACATGTATATTGATTTTTGAACGATCTCTTTTCCTTCTCTTTATGAATTTTTAATTTTTACAAGAAAGGTTCTCCCCTGCTAATTAATGACAAGTCACTAGCGATTTTGTATGCTCACCAAATTTGAAAAAAAAATCAGAGGTTATTTGTATTCCTTGGAAATGATTTCCCACATTCCCATTCAATATTTCTTGACCTTCGGTTGGCCATACTACTTGCCCACTTAGTGCAATATGGGTAAGATCACTTAACCACGCTTCATAACTAGAAAATACAAGCGACATGGAAGTACATGCCACTCATCAAATTACTGGGTATATAATTGTGGGAATTCCTCAAAACATTAGGAGCATAAAAATTCAAATGGAAAAAAGTTAGCAGAAGTTTCCCGATCTACTATTTCCTTTACATAAAAATAAGGGTCAAAACCAATTATAGCCATCTGTGAATGTACATTCAATGGATTATTTGATCCATATTGATGAAATGTGACCAAATAAGAAGATTAGCGCCTACTAAAAGAAAGAGACAAGTGTAGACACCACAAGATTGTTAGTAGTAGGATTGTTTCTCATGTTTATAAATCATAATAAAAATTTCAAAATTCTTTTTGAGAAGTTCTTAAGAAAAGATGAATAATCGGATAGCAAGTTGATCAGTTAATTCCATAAGAAATAAATGAGAGTTAGCACTCGATTGAGTTCATATCACCAAACCAATTGAATCCTTTACACAGCGAATGAGTCCATATTCAGTTCTTTTATTGTACTATTATTTTTTTTTGCTTTTTTAATTTTGATTTGTGTTATGCACCTATTCTTTTTTTATTATATATGTTTCCTTTTCTAGTTAAATTATACTTCTTTTTATTGTCTAAGATTTACATATACAACATCTATCACTATCAAGAGAGGAGTACTGTGTCCTCTATTCTTTCCTTTTTTCTTTTTATATTAGATAGAATATTAGATAGTCCTAATTACCATTCACATGTTATTTGAATTTATCTAAAATAAATGTATAAATTTCTATCTTTACTTTAAAATTTATTTAATAGTTTCTTAATTTTAATATTGAATTATTTAGAATTCAATTTATACTCGGGTTTAATTTAATAATTTTCTGCTATTCAAAGTGTTAGACTTATTTTTTACAATTATTTTGAACAAATTCTATCTATTTTACTTTATATCTACCCTTTTTTTCATCTATTAACATCAATTTTATTTATCTGTCTAATTGGAGTGCAGGCTTCAAATATTCGTGCCTCGGCCTCTCCACGACTCCTTTTCTCTTTTTTGGGTCATCGAGGAGAATTTTAATGCTTAAGTTTTGAGGCAAATTTTAAAAAGGTGGATTGGGTTTTGAATAAGACATTACACAGAGATTTCACGCTCATTTTGCGAGGACTTTATGATATGAGTTCAGGCTTCCTATAGGAGCAAGTCCCTATAGTTAATTATCCCTCCCGATAGTGAAAGGGAACTTTCAATTAATGCTAGTTGTCAAACAGATACGTAGTATTTGACGTATAGTAGCAGCATGATTTGAACATTTGAAAATTTAATATTTAAAATTAAAAATTTATCACCTTACACTTAAAGCAGATGGTGGGAGGAATGATGATAAACTGATCAAGATTCCATTGTTTTATCATCCCGCATCATCATGGTCTGTGGTCTACTTAATCAAAGGATGTAGTTTACCTAACCTAATAGAAGGATCCTTGTCAGCAGCTATTGGTTGCTTTGTCCAAGGGTACCTTGTAGGCTTGGGGTATATATATATATATATATATTGGGGTGAATATTTATCTAAGTGGATAAATTTGAATCAACCTTAGCTAACATAAGGCTTTGTGCCCTGTTGGTCATATCTTATTGATTAATTACTTAAGGATTTAGCATCGTGAAGAACATACGAGCTTTGACCATAACCGTAATATAATGGTGCAAATTGGTGGCAAAACTATTTGGTCAGAGGGTCCTGGTCATAATCATTTACTTGTGGTGCCATTTGATGGCAAAACCACAAATGACTCGTATTCATCATGAATTAGCTGTGCTCGCCTATAAATAATACGTTGTGTGCATATCTATGTTCAAAGGGGATCCACTACACTTGCAACACATCTATCATCGCTGTTTGTATACGGACTGTATTAGCCGTCATTTTTGGTAGATGATTGATATGTTTGCTTGAAATTGAATTGCTGCTGGCTTTGCAGGTGCCTTGACATTTATTGCATGTTGCTTGTCATCACTTGTAGGTAGATTGTTGTGCAAACGATGATTCTTTTGCTATTGCTTGTAGATATTCGCATTTGTCGTACGTTGCACTGTGTATGTTTGCAAGAAGTTTTATTATTTGTGCAATATATTACATTCATTTGTGCATTAATGTAGACTATCAACGAGCTGCATTCATTCATATATCAACTTCTATTTGTTCAAAAAGGACCCCTCATCCTTGCAATGTATTTGTTGTTGCTACTTGCAGGTGGGCTAATGTGTTTGTTGCAACCCCTCATCAGTGTTTGCAAGAATTCATTATATTCATTGTATGTTGATCATCATGACTTGCAGAAGTTTAGTGTATTTGCTTACGAGTTGGTTAGTGTCAACTGTAGGAATGCCACTACATTCATTGTGCACCATCCACGCTTTGCTTATAAGCATATTATTGTATGTTCTCCTACTGCCGTTCGTATATGGTTCATTGTATGCATTACAAGTTCTTTGTCCTCGAAGGTGACTTGTAATATGCATAATGAGCCCGCCATTATTGCTTGTTAGCACTTGCATTCAGATCATCATGACGACTTTCAATATTTATTAGAAATTTCAAATTATTGGTTGCAAGCACATCGTGTATTTTTCCAATTGATCTTTACTTGCAAGCCAATCGTTCTTGAAATTTTTATCCACTAGAAGTCCTTGCTTTTATATTTAATTATGTTTTTTTTTTGTAAATTACTGATTTCATTTTAGATGTTAGGTTATGTTCCCTGTAATTGCAAGTTTGGTTCCATATGGTCAAGTTTAATTCCCTATTCTTATTGTTCTAGTCTTATCCCCTATTATTTGTCTAAGTTTTGTACATTTTTTAACTCTGAATTTCGGTAGCCTCCCGGCGTCTCCCTTATTTAAAGAGAATTTTGGGAGTCTTAGCCTACCCACCACGTCAAAGAAAGACGTATATGGTAGGTGTCGTGTGACACCGCGGCTGTGATCTTTGATCCCACAATGCCAAAGAAAGGCATGCATGAGTCTTCAGGGGTATCTATTTGAAAATGCACAATTCTTTCCCCACAGCACTGAAGCTCGTACATGAGTACTTATTTTTTACCCCGTCACGCTAGAGAAAAGCGTGCACAATGCTTACCAGCCTCGCCGCAAGTGACACATGGTTTCTATCACCACACTAGAGAAAAATGAGCATAGGTGATTTTTCAGTGTCGTGAACGTCAAAAATAAGATTCTTAGAGGGGTTGAGTTTGTAAAACATTATACCTACGCAATCGAACTGATGGCGGTAACGATGAGGAAAATGAACGAAGATCAAGACACCCAAAACTTTTTTATTTGGAAAACTCTTTTTTTTTCTTTCTGTCTTTTTTTTTTATGCTATATAGAGAGATCGGAACTGGGCTGTTTTTGTAGTGGAGGAGAGATTTAGCGGGTTTGATGTGTGAGCTAGAGGGTTGGTATTGGGCTGTTGGGCTGGACTTGAAGTGGGTTGTAGATGGGGAAAGGGAAATTATGAGGTGATGGCAGGTGTAGGCGGAAAGGAGGGCGGAAGCTTGTGGGATACGATTATTGGCAGAGAGGTCGGACAAGGAAGGAAGAAGTTCCGATCTGGAGGAAGGTGGGATCGATCCAGTGAGTAGAGTGCGGCTTGGCTAATGGATCAAAGCTTCTTGCGGCTGAAAGAATCGATGTTATAGGTTTGTGGAAGCCAGACAGAGGGTTGCGACAAGAGTTATTGTGGAGTCAGTTCGGAAGGAGGCCGTGTGGCCCGATCTGGCTTATGGAGGGATTCGACGGGCTCAGCTGTGATCGAATGGAAGGTCTTCACTCAGGCATGAGTTGGCAGTGAGGAAGAGAGGGGAATCGGGGTTGGTGGTCTTCGATTCGGCTGGTTGTTGAAGTAATCGAGCATGGGTTCGACAGTGTCGAATGCATGAAGGATGGGAGGAAGCAGACAGAAGTGATCTTCGATCTGCTGAGAGGTGTTCGATCAAGATGCAGGAGGGGAATTGGAAGGATTGGAGTTCGGAGGTAGCCGAGGGATGCAAAGGAAGGGGTGAGATTTGACTCGGACGACATAGGGAGAAGCTATAGCAGCTTAGGGAGTTTGGTACTATGGACATAAGAGGCGTGTAGGGGATTTTGAATAGGGAAGGAGACGAGAGCAGGAATAAGAGGATTGGGGGCTTGTGTGCGGGAGAAACATTGAATTGAGCTCTCAAGCTTTGCCCTTGTTTTATTGACGCGAATGGAAGTGTTATCGAGGCGGATCTGGCACGTGAGGATGGGCCGTTGTGGGGATGGGGAGACTATAGTAGGTGGCATATACGAGATTTTAACAGTATTTGAGTAGGGATTGCAGGTAATATATATATATATTTTTTTGAATGGGGTTCAACAAGGAGCATTTCCTACAATTAACATGTCCAAACTATTATAGTATATTTTTAGATATCTTATTTTCAGTAGATCCAATTAGGAGTGTAA